AACTAGCTTAGCTCGTCTCCTCGCTTGTCACATTCTATCTAACTCCCGCAATGAAAGTTCCCCTTTTTTTTTTTTTAAATGTAGCCTGACCTTTGCGCTGACCGCCCTGCTTGTGCAGGAGGAGGATGCAGTTTTTTTTTTTTTTAAATGTAGCCTGACCTTTTGGCCTGACCCCTGTCCTTGTTGCAGGAACTAGGATGAGCCACATCACACCCAAGTGTGACGTCATACATCAGCACATTTTTTACCAGATCATAATCTCCCGCAAAGTTTGTAACATGAACCAGACTAAGGTCCAGACAGTTAGATAGATAGATAGATAGATTAGATGATAGAATAGATAATAGATAGATAGATAGATAATCACTTACCCTTGTTGTTGTCCATCGCAGATCTTCTTCCTATTAAAGTCTATTACAATGTTGCTCCTGAAGTGTCTTTACACTCTTCCTTTAATGCTCAGTGTCCATCACAGTCCTGTATTTATACAGCACAACACGATGGGCCCTCCCTCCTCTCCGACACACACTCACCCCCAAAACGTCACCTCACCTCCCTCTGCGACCTCTGACATCACTTACCAAAAACCTACAGTGCTCTGTGGGCGTGTATACGTGAGTGTGTGTGTATTTGCAGTGTGTGAGTGATAGTTTAAAGTGAGTTTCATATCCCTTCTGAGACACACTAGGGTCTTTGTCAGCGTATGTGCTGAAGGGTGGATGTACGCATCCACGTGTGTGTGTGTTTGACACTGAGTGAAGTCAGTGGAGGAGTAACTTTCAGTCACCTCTGCACGTCAGACTCTTACTAGAGTTAATATGAAATAGTGTGCTACAGTTGTTACACCCAAAGGTATTATAGTTTTGTATTTTACATTAGTTTTTATTTTTATTTTGTTTTATATTTATGTTTTTAATCAGTTACAGTTTCTAAAGTGGATTTTTCATGTTTCAAAATGTTAAGTTTTAGTTGAGTTTTAGTTTTTTTATCATTAAAATATGGTGGGTACCTGTCTGAATAGGTGTTACAATACAAACACGCTGACTCACAGTTAAAGACATCCCAGTCTCATTAAACATTTGCATCACTGCCCCTCCATGCTTGTTGCCCGAACTGACGAAGACTAAAACTAAAAACAATTCCTGTTTATTTTATTAGTCTATTTATTAGTCTATAGTCTATTAGTCTCGTTTTTAGTTTTTATTTCAGTGAACTAAAATGTTAATTTCCCACAGTGTTCCCACTTCAATGCTCCACTGTTTTAGGAAGGTGGGAGGCCATGATTCCGCACCAGATTCTCACATTCGGTATGTGTATATAATTACTTTCACTATCAAAATTAGGCTTTTCACCTGTTGGTAATGTGTTCCTCCAATAAAATATCACATTTCAATCATTAATTATTATTATTCATTATTACAGTGTTTTTTGTTCTTTAACTATAGGTGTCATACAATTTCTGTCTTTTATTTAATTTTAATGTTTTTTAAATGTATTCTTTCATTCATTCATCTTATTGTATCTTATGATACGATATTACCCAGATAAATACATACTGTGCATGCTCTATGAGCCACAGTGGCCCAAGACTTCTGCTGGCCAAGCCTGCTAACTTCCTGTTCACCCGTCCGTTAACTTGAATGGGGATAAATAATTTAATCTTTTGAATCTCAAGGTCCTGCTAAAATATTATCAGACTTGTGGCTTTCTTTCGCAATTGTAAGCTGATCATGAAAAATACGTATCATCTAATCTATCTATCTATCTGATCCTATCTACTATCGCTATCGATCATCTATCTATCTATCTATCTAATCTCTATTCTATCTATCTATCTATCGTATCTATCTTATCTATTCTATCTATTCTATCTATCTATCTATCATGCTGTATGGAAGAAGACTTGGAAACTAGAGACTGAGACCATTAAAACTCATTAGGAAACTGTTTACTGAGCTCACACATCAAGGCTGAGAAGTCCGCTCATTTCTCAATAAGACTGCATGGTATCATTTTGGCATCACTTTGGTTTGTAATAGTCTGAAAATGTTGACATCTGCCGTCTGTGCAGAGTGGTTCAAGCGCCACTGTGTTATGTCTGACTGAGAGTAACAGAGATCGTCTGTGCGATTCCGAGACACTTTACTGCATTGTGTTACATATCTCAGGGCCCGCAAGATAGCCGGGTGATGCACGCTCATATTGTCTGCTTAGAGCAGGAAGAATAATGAGCGTCTATGCACTGATTGAAACTAAGAATAAACACACAACAGCGCAACCAGTACAGTTTAAATAATTGATAAAACCAAGCCAACCCAGTCCAAATCGATGAACAGCATTAAAATAGCCTGGAGGATTGTCACTACTGTGCTTATAATGATACGTTACAGTGACACATTGGGTGTTTTATTTACACACACTTTCACTCTACACTTTAGAAAGTGATGTAACACATAAATGCCCCGGTTATGACCACTGAAATACACATCCAATGACTTTAGCGATGGCTGTGGGAGCAAAAACCATTAACCTTCCTAACTGAACATGATCCATGTGGTGTATCACTATAGGACATCCATTTTGGTTCTGTTAAGCACGTGTTGGGGGTTTTGTGGTACATGCAAAATGCATAATATCATGGAACAATCTTCAACATTTCTATGTAATGATGACAGCTAGAGAGACTCAATAAAACTTCAACAACTGAAAAATTGCACATTTGAATATGTTTTGTAAACAAATAATTCAGAAATTTAGAATTGTACTTGCAGACACAGATGAAAGGGATCTAATTAAAGTTCAAAACTGATGCAGCAGACGCTGAGTTTTGCTGCCCTAATTTTTAGTTGTGTAGTGAGATCAACGTTCCAAAACATGAGATCTTTCACAACTTACCTTACTTCTCTGCACCTGTTCAATGTCAAAGACCACGGATCTTCTTTTGTACCACCACATCCTGAGTACAATTATTCAAAATATACATTTATACAACTGACTTTTCGACAATGTAGATATCAGCGTCTGCTTACAATCTATTACATTCTTCCTTCCATGTGCGGCCGACCCCCCTTTATGTGTTTGTGCAACCGCCAGTTTAGAAACATCTTCCCGTTTATAAACCCCTAACCGATAGTTACAGCTGACCATTAAGCAGAAGAGCAAACATTCTTGCAGAGTAAATATGTTGCCTTTAGTGAAAGTGAATCTGCCTGACTGGGAAAACAAGGTCTGTGGTGTGTCTCATTGGTGAGCTGTGGAATGCCCTGGGATGGTCAGTGTTCGGGGAAACAGTTTTTTTTTGAAAAGTCTTTCATTGGCCTCAGGCGGTCGCTGATCACACCAACAGTGTCAACAGACTGACACTCTGGATGGGGCATGACTGCAATGCACTCCATGGCCTCTTCTGCATACGTGCAACCAACACACACCACACACACACACACACACACACACCACAACACACACACACACACACACACACACACCACACACACGGTGTATAGTACTGCTGACTTTCTGATTTTGTCCAACATTCCACCGCTTGAGGCTCACCAAAACCTCTTTTTTTTTTCTGCTAAGGTATACAGTAAAAGTTACTAGTACTTTGCGCTGCTTTTTGAAAGTCGTTACCTCCAAAACATCTCTCTAGAAAGTTCATGTTTGGACCCCAGTCATATATATAGCAAGAAAACAAGACTGAATAGCTGTCCTGGTTAAAAATGGGATTAAAAACCAGTAAAAGATAAGGGGTTACGTTGTGTTTAGGTTACAGTTGAGTTTAACGTAAATGCGCACCTTGTTGTGGTCCAATCAGGCACTGGTACTCAGTATACAACAAAAGGCGTAACTGTTAACTGTGACAGTACAGAACAGAAATATATCAATAACATGGTACAGTTGATGTTTAGTAAAAATGAGATGAAAACATTTTTAAATAAAGGAACAACTATAACTATAAGCACATGTGCAACACTGGACCTTTAATGAATCAAAGCAGTTAGCAGCTTTTTCAACTAAATTTCCCATTTTTTAAATCAGTTACACACTGTGTGCCTCGGCCGATCTTTGGTGCTATATCTGACAAGCGAAACCTTTTTAAGTGTTGAAATATTTAAAATCCCCCTCAGACTTGCTTATTGATTGTATTTTGTATCTGCTGTTGAAAGAATGTAACTTTGACTCTGTAAATATTCATGATGGTTATAGCTTGTTCACTTGAAGCTTCCTGCAGTGCCTAAAACATTAAACAAAAAAATAATTACTTATGGTTCTTAGCGCTGTTTTAAATTGTAATTTGCTCGTGTTCAGATTTTTAAGTAAGGAATTATTTTGAAATCAGTCATTTAACGCTAAATTTTGATCCTCTAACTAAAGAAAATTAGGCTATAAATGTTTACTGCCTCTCCTCTCACATTCGAATTTTAATAAGTTTATTATTTTTTACAAGCGTTGGCTTGAACCTGCAAATTCAGAGCCTATAAAGGAGTTAATTTGGTATGGTCTAATTAATGTAAAAGATGCTGTGTGTGTTTTGAAGTTCTTTAATAGATGTCTTGTGTCATACGTGCATTTGTTATTTGTTTTTAAGGCACTAAACGGCTGCCGCCCCAATTATAATATCGCTGACTCTTGTACAGCCCTATTCTATTCAAAGGTCCTTGAGATCCTCAAATACAAGGCTTTTGCATTGTACCGCTGCTCACGGCTCTAAACTAGAGGTTGTGATAGAGCTTTTTGCACAGTTGTTGCTCCACTTCTGTGGAACTCGCTTCCCCTGGTATTATACATATCCCAGAGCCACCTTAAAGACCGATCATATGTTAAACAAAAAAGTTGGCCTCCCCAAAGCTGAAACGATCCCTGAGAAGGACTTTCCTCACAGGTCTGAGAAGATGTCCCCTCACACCTGGCCTATGAGGTTTAGTGGTTGTAATGCTATGTTTGTCTTTCCAGTTTGTAGCCATTGCTTTTCTCATCTGGTTCCTGTTGCCAGTTGTGGATGACGAGATCCTGTTAAGGAAGTCTGATAAACTTTAAATCAAAGAACAATGAATTTATGAGTATCTTCCACTTTGGTGCATGTGTCAGCACTTCGGTTGTCTGCCAGGCTGTCATAAATTGACTCTCTGTGACTTCTTCTTGAATCCGGATAAGGTTTAGTCATCTGGATGCCTGATCTAAGTTATCAGAGAAAATCAAGCTGAGCTAACGTTAGCAGCAGTTCGGCTCACAGCCCCTCCGAAACGTCCTTACTGCTGAACAGCGTGGGAGAAGCAGTGAGTTTTAAGATTAAACTGCTTTATTCAGTGTTTTTTACCGGTTTGTTTTAAAGAGGAGAAGCCCTCTGTGGTAAATTTTGCTCCTGGTAAAAACCGCCTGAACAATGAACTCCCATGATCCTATTTTGGTTCTGATGTGAAAGACCCTGTCAAACTGTACATAGAAATAGTCCATGAGTAGATGCTTCCTTTTGCACAGTGCTACATAGAAAGAAAATAGTTCCTAAACTGCTCACAACAAGGTGGATTATCTTGAGTAACCTGGTCATGATTTCAGGAAAGAGAGCAGAGTGCCATCTGGTTGCATTAAATTAGAGAGAAGGCAGACATCTCTACACCAAAACAATCTGCATGGATAAATAGCACCACAGCTGAAAGGAAAAACATGTAACTCATAACATGCTCTAGTTATATTGTCAGTCAGTACAAAATACCATGAAATGTATTGTGGATATTAATGATCCCAAGAGCTTGGTTTGAACCACACTGTGCTGGTGGCCCCAGGATTTTACCTTTTACTGCCACCCTGAGGCCTCAAGTTCCACTTGTAAATAAGGTATCTATTATTGTAATGGGCATATTAATACAGAAGGGTTAGGAAGGGATGGCATGATGATGCAGAAGGCCATCAGGGCGCCTCAATTTAGGGTATTTACAGTGTGATTTTATTTTCTTAGTGCTTGGAGCAGACTTTCTAACAGCAAATGTGTGAATGAGAGTGTAGCACAGGCCTTAGATATTATGGTTATTTCTACAGGACACACAACTGAGTTAAACCACCATGTAATTCTGTTCCAGATGAAGTTAAAGTCATCTTAAACCTGAACCTCCAGCAGAGCAGCGACAGCTCCACCTTCTCGCGACAAATCCATCTGGGAGGTTTATATGAGCTTGCTCCTTTTTGCAAAAGAGTGCATTTAATTGGTTATTCTGCATTTAATAGGCTGCAACGTGACAATGCAATCAGGAACTATCCCAGATGAGCAGTCAATTCATCTTTGAAGAAGTTTCTGGTGTATCCTGGCTAATCATATCTGCCAACACAGCCATCGGTCTTTTAAATCAACTTTATGTGATCTTTGTATCCTATTTTTTATTGTTTAATTATTTAATAAGAAAACAGTTAAATCAGTCTTATTAATTTTTATTCAAAGAACATACTAGCAAATATAGAAAATTAGGTATTGTCTCAGCGTACGAGCTCTTGAGAATCGAGCTGTTAAAGAGTCTCTCAGCTCTCTGAAGGCGGGGGAGCAGCTTTGCGCACAGCCTTGGCGAGGGCTTGTTGAATAACCGGGTACAGTTTATAGCATCCCTCAATGCAGGTCCGAACCCCAGCTGTCAGAGTCTCTTGGGTCATTTCTCCATCTGACTGCAGCCCAGAAATCTGGTTCAGGCTGGGGAGGAAGGCCACAGTCAGCCCGCCCTGGTTCTCGCCGCCGACAGAGCTGCGGCTGTTTTCCTCCGCGTAAGAAGGGTCAACCACATAGGAAGAGCCGTCCTGGCGGATCGAGCAACCGAGCACCAGGTCGTACATTTCGATCCCTGCGTCGGCGAGGGCGAGGGAGGCGCATGTGATGGCGTGGGCCAGGACTGAGCCGCTGTTCTCCAGAACCATCACGTTGACCTCGATCTGAGAGCGGGGATACTTGTGGAGGCACACGGCCGACTGCAGACTCTCCTGCAACATCAGGGAGAGATCCTTGTCCTGGCTGCCCTGAATCCAGGAGCCTCTGTCCGGGCACGAAAACGGAGCGAAGCGCATGTCGGTAGTCAACCTGGATGGACGGAGAAAGACAGTTGTCTTTATAAACTCTTCCTACAGCAACTATCGCTGTGTAAGATTGTTAAAATGATTAAAAAACACATAATACAGATGGAGAATTGTATAAAAAAAAGTTCCTTAATGAGGAAATAATCTGCTTAAAATACACAAAAGTTCACTATTTGGGTTCATTATACAGACAGACAGACAGACAGACAGATAGAGAGATAGACATGAATTTAGCCCGAGGGATTCAAGTATCAGTTAGGCGACATGAGACCAAGATTAGACAAACATTAAAATAAAGAACTATAAGAAAGTCAAGAGTAAGAAATAAGTAAGTTTTATTAAACTATGGTCAATTAGAAAATTGGAAACACAGGTTGTATGTATATAAAATAGTCCACCTTAATCATGGTCGCCTGTTAAAGGGTTGTTTTTAAATTGCAAAAACTGTCATTTTGTGTTAACATAGGCGTTTACGTTTTACTTTTACTTATAGAATAAAGATAAATAAGAAGTAGAAAATGAGAATTCACACACGTTTTAAAAAAAAAAAAATAGAACTTAATAAGTGGACGTGATG